AGCAACCTAAATGTAGCTTCCAGCATTTCATGACTACATTCCCCCACATCACTGGTACCAACATGGACCACAACCACTAAATCCTTTGCAAGGCCATCGAGACAGTGTGTGATATCCATAATCTTTGAACAGGGCAGGCAATCCATCAAATGATCCACATGCCCATCACAAACCCAGTTATTTGTGACTCTAATGACCAAATCTCCTGCTACAAGAAGGCCCAGCCCACCCGCTGGAGGCACTTCCACAGTGCAAGAGGATACACACTCACCTTCCAAGAAATGGGTCACTTCTAAGGGATCATTTTCCATGACAGCAGAGGAGCTGCCACCCAGAAGTTGGGACCCTGCTGCTGGGTCCCCAGGGGTCTCGTCACTGAACTGCTCTGCCTTTCTTTGCTTCTCCTGGTCAGCAATCTCGGGTGCAAGGGAATGCATTTGCTCTTTGAGTGCCAGGAGCTCCTTACACCAAGCACACAGTGTTGGGTCTGAAGATTAGTCTGGATGTAAATGCTAAAATGGCCATAATTTAGGATAATTCATCATCAGTCTTCCTAAAGTAGCACACAACTCTTCCTTTGTCTTTCTAAATACAGGTTGTTATTGCTTCCAGCAGTAACAATTTTGTCTGTAAGGAAGGATTGCCATCATTGACTACAGAAGTCAGACAGGTTGCACAATCCCTTTCAGAAATGCGCATGTGAACACACTGATGGCAGCAGACATGGCACAAGAACAGTTTCAGAACGCAGTGCTGTTAGTAAAGATGCTGGGGGAAAAGTACCTGAGTGAAAAACAGAGAACACACTGTTAACATTATGGATGTTACATATTTTGTTGTCTGTATATAAATAGTAGCAAAAGATATAAAGAGAGGGAGCTTGGCAAATTTTAGGAATGTGCAAGAAACAAACACCATCTGGAGAAGGGATATTGTAAGGGAGTGTCCCTGGGTAAAAGGAAAAATAAAAATGGAGAGTGCCTTCCAGATGGCTAGTTTGAAGGTCCTCTCCAGTTACATCCAATTGGGTGCCAATTGGCTACCAGTCCTTTTCTTCTTTCTGCTTTAGTCCAAAATTTGATTTATATTCTTAGTTTTCATTCCTTATCAACTTTTTTTGCTTTTTAAAGAAAACTCCCTGCTTTATAGAATGAAAACTCTATGACTCTTAATACCATGGTGTGGTGCATTTATATGGAGAAACTTTGGTGAGGATGTTATCAGAAAGGAAAGTTACAACAAAGAAACAAGGCTTTTCTGCTTGATAATTTGCACCTCCTCCAATCATCTTCATTTAAAAACCAGAGAACTCATTTGGTGTATACATTTTCTTTAGCCAATGATTCTCAGAATGTGATATACATTACAAGAGAGGCCTTCCTGTTTCTTAATGGTCCCATAATTATGGGCCTTAAAAACATGACAGATTCACCAGCCCCTTTGCACTTCCCCTTCCATTGCTCTACCTGTCACAAACCTCAGCACATCTGTATCTACCTGCCAAACCATTTCCTGTGTTTTTTTCTTCATGTATATTTAAGAAACCAAACAAGATTTGTTTCATATGATGTGCACATGAGACAGACATGCAAACAATAGAGCTTTCTAGTTAATGCTGGGTTGTTTTCTTGAACATGGCTGCCAATTCACAAAGTTTTCTCCATTAACATGGTGATGTGGCTGAACCTCTAGCCACTAGTACTGAGAATAATGCAGAGGTATTTTCAGCAAAAGCCTTGACGGAATAAAAACAGGCTCTCCTTCAGCAATTTGTAGGGTTGTTGTACAAAGAGGCACAGAAACTATTGTGAGTTTCATGGTGATCCCTGATTGTCTAAGGTCTCCCATGTTCAGCAATCATTGTTCCTACTCAAATGAGTTTCATTTACCTTCAGTGATATTGGCATATAGTCAATTTGAGAGCAGATCCTATGGCTCCTGAACACTGGCTATGGGGCAGGACTTCTGACCCTCCTCCCCTGCCTCCTTACAGTTGGCACAGGAAGAACTGAGCCGGCTGCCCCCCACAGTAGAAAAGCCACCTTGGTGATAGGGGAAGGGAGGCATTTTGGGGATGGGAAGGGGATACACTGTTCCAGCTTTGTTCACTCTCCCTGAAAAGTGCCCAAGTTAGGTAGTCAAAAATAGTCACCTAGCCAGTATGTAGAGCTGCAGGAGAGCAGAGGCAAAGATTGACTGGACTGCATCCTTAATTGACCTATATTATTGTGGCACCATCACCTCCAGTATATGATCCCTGACTGGCTTAGATCAAGTCATGGAACAGAGGAAAAATTTCCCTGTTATAGCGCACTGAAGCATATAACACTGAGGACTCTGTGGCTATGAACTGTTGCATATAGATATGGGAAACTTTATATAGGTACTGATTTATTTCACTTGAACAAATGACATGGAAGAATAAATTTCTGTCACACAAAATATAATATATAATGCACCAACACTGTGAAAAAGATTTTAAAAGCCACAGAAATTCAAAGGAACCAGTATCAGACAGCCTGAAAAAGTGGATTGAGCATAGTGTCTGCAACAGAGTGTCCTTTCGGCTTTGACCCTGTCGCTTCATTCTTTCTGGCGCTACTAGTACTAGCCCTCTGCTCTTCCCCAGTAGCATATTGGACACCTTCTGATCTGAGGGGCTCATCTTCCGGCGTCATATCTTTTTGCCTTTTGGTACTGTCCATGGGGTTTTCATGGCAAGGATACTGGAGTGGGTTGCCATTTCCTTCTCCAGTGGATCACGTTTTGTCAGAGCTCTCTGCTATGACCTGTCCGTCTTGGGTGGCCCTGCACGGCATAGCTCATAGCTTCATTGTGCTATGCAAGCCCCTTTCACCACGACAAGGCAGTGATCCATGAAAGGCCTAGATAGCTAGTCCTCGCAATTGACTATGCTTTCTGGGGCCAATTGCACGTTCAAACTGCTAGATGGCTAAAAGCTGCACACCTCTGGTTTGCAAATTGCAGCAAAAGATGCAACACTGAAGTGTGGAACCCCTTACACAGACCAAGCAAAGGAAGCTACATCTTGCAGGCATTTGGCCACCCTGATGCACTCTCATAAGCATGCAGCTCCAGAGCTATAGAACTCGTGATTCCTTCTGCTTGGGCAACATAGCTACTTAAAAGATAAATGGATGTGGAAGTGGCTGTCCAAATGCCACCCTCCCCACCCCCATTTGTGACCCTATTAGAGATGACAGGGATCACATTCTGCCTAGTGGCAAGGATTTCACCAAACATCTGTACTTGGTGGGAAAGAACGTGCTTTGCCTGCCAAAAGTCCCAAGGTCAGTTTCTGGCGTCTCCAGCTATTTTATTTATTTATTTATTTATTATTTAGAATTTTTGTATGCTGTCCCATTCGCATGAGCCTCGGGACGGCATACATACAATAAATAAACACCATACAAATAGTGCACATAAAATCCAGATTCACCCTGGCTGCAATTAAAAAAAATCTATAGATGATATTAAAAATAGTTAAAATATTGTTTAAATAAAAAGGTCTTAGCCTGGCGCCGAAAAACAAATAACAATGGTGCCAGGTGGACACCTCTGGGGAGCATGTTCCACAGGTGGGGCGCCATCACAGAGAAAGACCTCCTCTGGGTACTTAGCCTCCTAACGTCTTTCACAGAGGGTTCCCAGAGGAGGGCCTCTGCTGCCGATCTCAGGGGGCGGGAGGGCAAATATGGAAGTAGGTGTTCCTTTAGGTATCCAGGTCCCAAGCCATTAAGGGCTTTATAGGTGATAACCAGCACCTTGAATTGAGCCTGGACTTCGATGGGGAGCCAGTGAAGCTGGTCGAGGACTGGAGTTATATGAGAATAACACCCAGTCCCCGTCAGCAACCTGGCTGCTCTATTTTGCATCATCTGAAGTATCCGGACTGTTTTCAAGGGCAGCCCCACGTAGAGTGCATTACAGAAGTCAAATCAGGAAGTAACCATCAGGAAGTAACTGTTGCTAGGCAATCATCCTCCAGGTAGGGACGCAGCTGATGGATTAACTGAAGCTGAAGGAAAGTGCTCCTCGCCACCGCAGTCACTTGAGCTTCCAAAGACAGCTCTGGGTCGAGGACCACACCCAAGCTGCAAACCCTGTCCTTTAGAGGGAGCGCAACCCCATTCAGGACAAGGTCCAAGTCACCTACCCAGGAACCCAAACCACCCACCAACAGGACCTCTGTCTTATCTGGATTGAGCTTCAGTTTATTGGCCCTCATCCAGCCCATTACTGGTTCAGTACAGCCACTGCCTCACCTGGATTGGTGGAAAACGAGAGGTAGAGCTGGGTATCATCAGCATACTGATGATTCCGCAGCCCACACCTCCTGATGACCTCTCCCAGCGGTTTCATGTAGATATTGAATAGCAAGGGGGACAAAATGGACCCCTGCAGTACTCCATGGCATAATTGCCATGGCGCAGAGCCAAAGTCCCCCTGCACCACCTTCTGGAATCGGCCGTTGAGGTAGGAGTGGAACCACTGCAAAGCAGTGCCTCCTACTCCCAGTCCCGCTAGCCTATCCAGAAGGATACCATGGTCGATGGTATCGAAAGCCACTGAGATCAGGATCGCAACCCGAGACAATCTCGCTGGTCCACAATTCCTCTGGTTTAAACTCGGTGGTTTAATTCCTGCCTAAACAGACATGCAGAAGATCTCCCTGCTAGTACCACAACAGCGCTTTAAACAACAGCACGAAAGGCTCTGTCCCTAACTGCTTCCTTCTCTTGGGAAGGCCAGAAGAGTTGTAGCGATTCCGGGGTTGTGCTGGAGTTCTTAGATGCCCTTCTAAGAACAGGGGTTCTGGCTGGCCAAGAGGCGCCGCGGCCCCTTTAAGAGCCGGGCAGGGCTCTGTTGTTGGGGTGGGAGCAGCAAGGAAGCAGCAACGGGGATTCAGCGCACACGCAGCACTTAAACCTTTGGAAGGGCTCCGTCCCGCCCGGCATTCCAGAGTGCTGAGCCGCGCGCCGGGAAGAAAGACCCGGGCAACGCGCGCGCGCGCGAGAAGAGGCGGGAGTTGCGGCGGCAGCAGGGCGCCCCCTCCACAACAGCCCCAGATAGGGGGTCGGGGAGGGAGAGAGTGTGGGGTCGGGGAAGCGAGAACGCCCGGCTGCAGTTCCTGAGCCCAGCCTGGGCATGAGGAGCGACAGCTGCGATTGCTGCAACGACGGCAGCCACCGCCTCCGTTTGCTGTATCCCCAGGCTCGGCCTGCGCTCTTCCCTTGAGAGCGAACTCTTCCTCCTCTTGCTTCCGGCTTTTCCCGCCGCCTCAGGGGAACAGCCTGTGGAGGAGATTTTAGGGTTGGGGAGGGGTGACTGAAGACCCGCCCTCTTAACTAGCCCCGGGATCGTGGTTGTCTGCCTGTTTTCTTGTTTCAAGCTCTGACATAAATCTCGCTCTTGTGTTAAGTGTTGTGTGTATGAGAGAGAGGCCTCCCTCCCGCTTTCCTTCCTCGACCCCTCCCCTCACCCTCGCCCAACTCCTTCCCATCACTCTTCTGCTGTGTGTAGTTGGGTTTAGGCTGCTACATTACCTAGAGTAGACCCAGCCTGACTTAATCCCTCCTTCTTCTGCTTTACAAACTTGTGTATGACCTTTGTTACCGTTTTCCATACCTCAGAGACTAGGGCTGATTGGTTTATTGCCTACCTTCATCCTTCAGGCCTGTTTCTTTTTCCTAAGCAGCTCTGGCCCTCTTTTCACCTTCACTTCCTCCTCGTGTTTTCTCCCCCGCTCCCCGCCCACCATAAGCACCTGCCGCTGAGAGTAATTTTTCAGTTTTCCTTTCCCTCTCCCCGCGCCCCCTATACCAGCGTGCCGTTGGGGGGTGATTTTATTTTTCCTTTTTGACCGATTTAATTTTTTCGTGTCCCCATTGCTAGCAAGGCTGTTTGCAGTTCCCCTTCGCCATCATTTAACTTCCCCCACCTCTATTATTTAAACTTTGGGTCTCATCTAAACTTTTTATCTGGATGAGATGAAAGTGACGGTTTGCTTTGGAAAGACGGGGATTGTGGTTCCTTGTAAGGATGGACAGATCCGGGTTAGAGACTTAACCCAGCAGGCTCTTCAGAGATACCTGAGAACCAAAGAAAAGGTAAGGAATAACTTTAGCTAAAACACTGCCAACAAAGTCACCTGGTGCAGTTTATGTGTTTAGGACGATTGGGTGCATCTTTCCATTGAATGCATACATATTTTGAAGGAGAAACATATTGTGAGTAGCTGAATGGCCTTTTGAAGTACATGAGAGGTGGTAGACTGCTGTCAAAAATGACACTGCAGAGTGAATTGAGAGATGAGATTCTGATGTTCCATGTCAATTTTCCTGCAAAAAATATTGCTTGTGAATATGTTGTAGAGTTTCCTTAAGCCTGTAGCATCTGTGTGTGGTTGGTGTACTTTTAATGATGTAATATTCATTACAAACAGCAATGTCATACTTGGAACTCATAGACTGATGTGATCCAGATGTGTGTGTGTTGCCCAACCAATATTGACTATTGAATGTAATAAAGGTTGGAGAAATATTTTGAACAGCAGTGCCAAATACATCTTTATGAATTGTTAAAATTGAAAGGACAGATTTACAGCTCCAATTTATTTACTAGTTAAACTCTTAAGCTAATTTAAATATTGTACTTCTAGAGTTTGTTGTGCTACAAAATCCAAACTCAATTGAATTACTTTCCTTCATTTTCTATCCAATGCGGCTGCCTTTAACCGTCCATACTCTGAAAATTACAGGCATCCAATTGAGGGCAGGAGGAGCGTGTTTCAGGTATTCTTCCATCTTGCAAAAGATATAGGCCATCTATGTCTTTTGTCTTTGCTAATGAGGCGGGGTGGCCAAGGAGCCTTTCTCCTACCCTCCCCACCTCTTCTGCTGCCTTTAAGGTTCCTTCAGTCCCCCAGAATGTCTTCCTGCCTCTGCTGCAAAGTCAAACCAGGTGCAAGAAGAACCATGCTGATTGCAAAAGTCATGGGCAAGAGCATTTCTGAGCTCAGACCTGAATTTAAGAAAACATACTGGATCAGACCAAAGGTCCATCTAGACAGCACTCGCTGCACATGGTGGCAAACCAGCTGCCGACAGGTTTGCTCAAGCAGAATGGGTGTATGATTCCCACCTGCCCAAGGTCCTCAGCAACTGGTGTATGCAGGCAAGCCACCTTTGGTGGAGGAGGTAGCATATAGCCAGCAAGGCTAGTAGCCACTGATAGTCTCCTCCCTCATAAATCTGCCTAACCCCTTTTTAAAGTCGTCCAAATTGGCAGCAATCACTATTTCCCATGGCAGTGAATTCTAAACCGTCTACCAGTCAGCTTCATGGGATGACCCTGGGTTCAAATATTATGGCAGAGAGAGAAAAATATTTCCCTCTCCACTTTCTATACCCCATACATACATAATTATAAACACCTCTGTCATGTCTCCCCATACTCATCTTTTTTTCTTAGCTAAACAGGCCTCAGAAGGGATCACTCCAGGCCCCGATCATTTTTGTTGCCCTTCTCTGTATCTTTTCCAACTCAGTGTCCTCTTTCAGGTAAGGCGTCCAAAATTGAGCGCCATATTCCAAGTGCAGTTGTAGGAGGAGTCAGATTTTGGCAGTTATATTTTTTTTAATTGCCTTTCTAATTATGCCTAACATGGAGTTTGCCTTTTTTTTCACAGCAGCTGAACACTGGGCCAACATTTTCTGTCCACTACTACCCCAAGATCCCTTTCTTGGTCAGTCACTGCTAGCTCAGATCCCATCAGGACGTTGCATATTGAGGATTTTTTTAGTCCCAACATGCAATACTTTACACTTGCCTACCTTAAAATTTTGGTGCCCATTACCCCACTTGGAGAGATCCCTTTGGTGCTCCTTATACTGCCCTATGATTTTAACCATCCTAAATAGTTTGCTGGTATCAGCTAACTTGGCCACTTCACTATTTACTCCTAATTGCAGGTCATTGATTAATAGGTTGAAAAGCACTGGTCCTTCTACAGGACACTGCAGGTCTCTAATGGTTACATCTCTCTTTTGGAAGTCATTGCCATTGATTCCCACCTGATGTCTTCTGTTCTTTAACCAGTTAGTGATCCATAAGAGGACCCTTCTGCTTTAATTCAGTGACTGCTTTTTTGCTCAGCAGCTTTTGGTGAGGGCCTTTGCAAAAACCTTTTGGAAATCCAAGTAGGCAATATTTACTGGATTGTCCTGTCTACATGCTAATTGACTCTGTCAAAGAAATCCCAATAAGTTGGTGAGACTTCACCTTGTGGAAGCCGTGCTGATTTTTTTTTCAAGTCTTGTCCCTCTGTATGTTTGAGTCTATAATTCATTCAAGCTGTCTATATAAAAAAGGTGTTATGCTAACTGGTCTGTAATTTCTGAGACCTCCCTCCAATCCTTTTAAAAAAATTGGTGTTACATTGGCCATTCTCCAGTCCTTTGGTACAAGGGCTTATTTAGGGTCATATTAAATATTTTGGTAAGAAGGTCAGTAGTTTCATGTTTGAGTTCTTTAGGCTGGATATGATATGGACCAGGTGGTTAATCAACTTTCATTTTGTTAGTAAGGTTGAAAATTTTATATTCTGTCACTACTGTCTCCCCTAATTCAGGGACATGCATCTACTCTGAATCCGCTGTGAAGACTGATGAGAAAAAAATCATTCAATTTCTCTGCATTCTCCTCAATCTTGCCTCCCCCCCTTTAGTGCTCCTTCAATTCCATTATTGTCCAATGGTGCAACTGTTTCTTCAGCTGCTTTCTTTCTTTTGATATATTTTAAGAATTCTTTGTTTGCCTTGATGTTGTTAGTAATGAGTTCCTCAAAGTGTTTCTTTGTTGCTTTTATTATCTGACTGCATTTACCTTGTGCAAGCTTTGTTCATTTTTGTTCTTGTTTTCCATTTGGGGAAATCTTCCATTTTTTGAAGGAAGCTTTCTGCTCCCTAATAGCTTCCTTGATTCTATATGTTAACCATGCTGGTGATTTGCTGGACTTTTCTCACTTGTGGTATACATATTATCTGTGCCACTATTGTGTTTTTGAGTAATCTCCAAGTGCTTTGAAGTGATTTAAACATCATTTTGATCTTCAGCTTCTTCTTTCCCAGTTCCTCAATTTTGAGAAGCTTCCTCTTTCAAAGTCAAACACAACCGTGTTCAACCTCTTTGGCAATCTTTTACCTAACTGTGTATTAAATCTGGTACTTCCATGGTCACTGTTTCCTATTGTCTCAAGGATATTTACATCTTGTACTATGTTGTGGGCAACCCCACCAAGGAATAAATCCAGGAATGTCTCTCCTTTGGTTGGTTCCACAACCTTCTGCTGTAGGGATACAATCATTTAGGATATTGAAAAATTTAACCTCTCTGCCATAACTGAAACATACATTTATCCAGTCAATGTGTGGATAGTTGAAGTCACCCATTATTGCAGTACGGCCTTCATTGAAGGCCTCCCTGATTTAATTTCCTATCTCACTGAGCATTCTGGTCTGGAGGATAAGAGCATACTCCTATGGCTAAGTTAGTTTTGGAGCCATGAATTTTCACCTGTAATGCTTCTGTGGAGGAGTCTTTATGCAGTTGATATTCCAGCTCATCCTATGGCATTGGTACGTGGCTTAGGGAACAATCCAAACGTATCTGAGCAGAAGAGCCATCTGAAAGATAAGATCTATGTCATATAACTTATGTCAGTGTTGATTTCCCAGCATTCCCAGGGCGAGAACATTCATTCCAATTTGCAAGGCTATGTCATCCAACCCGTGGGTTATCTTTCCCCAACTTGAAGCATTTATAAGTAGTTAGGGTCATCCCTCCTTCATGAAACACTGCCTTGTCGTGGCGAAAGGTCATCCATTTCCAGTCACCTCAAGGAGATTTTTTTCAGTAGCCATCCCAGTTCTAGCTCTGTGCTCTTTCCTCTGGTCATTCTCAGAAGTTGTCAGTCGACATCATTTCTTGTCATACCACTATGTTGTGTGGTGGGAAGGTGGATAGAGCTGGTACCCCACCCCCTAGTCAGACTATCACTTAACTTTTCTTTCTCTTCCTGAGGATGGCTGAAAGCTGTATGCGGTTCCTTCTGTTGGTAAGGTATACACATAATTCACAGAATGCTTTCTACATCATTATTGGTTACTAATGTTGATCAACTGAGAGTGCTGCTTGTTAATATGGGGCAAACATTTCCACTTGTCCTGCGGGAAAATCAAGGTTTTCCCCGAATGGAGAGTATTCCTCAAATTCTCCAAATGGGAAGTATTTGTTACTTGGGAGGGACCATACCTCAATGGTAGAGTTCATGATTCAAAAAAGCATTTCAGATTAATTGGCTGGCAGTGTTAAGAATTTCCTGTATTAGGGCTGGGAAAGATCCCTGCTCAAAACCTGTGCTGTTAGACAATATTGAATTAAATAGAACAAACTCATTTATAGTAGAAGCAACATGAAAACATAGCTTGAGTAGGAAAAATAAAACACACAAAAAATCTAGTCCAAAGCTTGCTGTTATCTCTAGTTGAGTTCATCAATATGACAACTAGGTTTAACTTTCCTTATTAAACATTGTAAATGCAAGTTCGTCTCTTTCCACCATGTTTTTCAAATCCATGAGGGGTGATCAATACTTCAGAACATTTGTTGAGGTGGTAGCCTTATACTGGGCTGACTTAAGGGCAAGTGGAAAATGTACTTGGTATAGTTACTTGGGCCAAGGGGCACATTTGGCACTTAAAAGAAGTATTGTGGCTGTGAGCACAAAATGGTTGCTGTGGAGGATGATGGGATTGTGGCCCTTAGTGTGTGCTTTTCTTTTAGTAAGCACAGACAGAAAATACACACAGAGACAAATGCATGAAACATTTTTTCCTGTGTGCAAATTAAAGGAATGATTTCTTCATTTATTTGCATAGGTGGAGACAGAAGTTGAGTGATGGAAATACCACTTCTGTTTTTCCAAGGCTCCTAAGTAGTGAATGGGCTTCATCTTTCTCCACTCACTTTTTTCCGGTATAGGTCCTCACCCACCTCAGGGAAATAGAAAAATCACTATGTTCTCTGGCCCAAGAAGGAGAAAAGCTGC